TGAAAAGTCTCTGATCTGTGACACCAGGGCAAGCCCGGCACCTACAGAGGAGCACCCTCGGGGAAATCACTCGAAGAAGAACCTCAGCTCCCGTCCATGGGGACTTTCCCCAGCCCAGCCCCTGCCTCAACCGCCTCTTGGTGCCCGTGGCAGCTGCTCACTGCTCAGTACAAATTGCTGGAGGTCAGAAGGTCTCCTCTGGAGCCATGGGGCCAGCACGTGGGGCCCTGAGCCTCCAAGCCCTGGGTAAAAGCCCAGCCTGTCGGGGGAGGGAGGGTCAGGCAGGATGTGACAGAGACGAGCATTCCCCCAGCTCAGCTCCTTCCCCTCCCTGGATGAGCCATTCCCCCGGCGGGCACGGCAGAGGCTTCAGGGCAATCACAGTGTGAAAACAAGTTTGATATCGTCCATGGAAATCGGCAGGGTTTGGAGTTCCCAGGAACTCCCAGGTGTGTTTGCAAAGCTCTGACACACGCATTTCCTTGGCAACGATCCCGGCCCTTGGCCAAAGTTCTAGGCAAGATTCACGGGTCACGGTGAATACAAGAGGACGCCAGGACTCCTGGGTTCTGTGCCCAGCTCTGGGAGGGCTGGAGGGGACCCACAGAAACGCAGGGACGGACCCTGGATCACACAGGTCATCTCTGGCTGAGCTAGGGTTGAACCCAGCTCTCCTGAGTCCCAGCCCAATGCAAGAAGGTCAAGAGAAAGGGAACGGGCGTGTAAGGCGCTAGTCTGGGAGCTGCAGATTTGGGTTCCTGGCTCTGACCCCGATGGAAGATTCTGTCCATCCTCCTTGGGAAAGGGTTTGGGGGGAAGTCTCCTTGCTCAGCTGGGTAGTGACCGAAGTGCCTTCAGCCAGGCCCCTGACAACCCAAATCCAAACAGACTCTGTCTGACACCCCCGGGAGAGTCACTCTTGGAAGCCCCTCCTGGGTTTCCCTCTGCTTAACTTTGGGGCACGTGTGGGGCTGACGGAGATCCCTGCTATCCTGAGTCAGACCTGGTCACACAACGAGCTGAGGGTGAAGTTCGCTGTGTCAGGTCAATGGTATGAGCCATAAGTCTACATGGCCTGGCCCACTGGGCTATCAGGGGTCCGAGTCGATTCCTGTGTCTGCCTGGGCTAGAGGAGAACTGGTCGATTCCACCGTACGTGGCTGGCTTAGGGATGTGCAGACACAGCTCTGTTCACATGGATGTTCTTGGGCTCTGGCAGGTTCTTGGTGCCTCTTGGCCAGACCCCAGCGACCCTCAACTCTGGGCAGTCTTTGCTTCCCCTCACCTGTCTCCCTGGGGCTGTGACAGGCCAGTGTGGGCCAATGGGGGCAGGACATTGAGGAGGGGAGCAGGGCTGGCTGGTAAGAGGGTCCTGAGGAGCTCAGCTGGGGCAGGCTGATTGAACTGCATCTAGAAACACCACGCGAGCAGCCCTGGCTGCACTGGCCACTCAGCCTGGCGCACACAGTCGCTTCCCAGAGGGCCAGTGAGTGTGGCCAGCACGCAAGGCCTGGAGAGTGGGAAGGGCCGGAGCGGGGGTGCTGGGCTGCGATGGGGCAGGGAAGAGCTGTGGGTGGGGGGCACTGGGGAGTGGAGGTTCTGTGTGTGGCACTGGGCTGTGGTGGACAGGCGTGGTGGTGGGCAGGGTGCTCTGAATTTGTGACAAGGTTGGGGGCAGGGTTGGGCCCAGGAGTCTGGGGCCCTCTGGCCATTGGGGATTGATGGAGGGAGGTTGTTTTGTGGCACAGCACGGAGCACAGTGCGCCTGTCCACTGTCAGCGCCCTCACATTGGGCTGAGCAGAGCGGGGCCGCCCCTACCCTCCCAGGCCCCGGTTGGCCCCTTGGTCCCGGGACCAAACATTCTCCACCGTGCTCCATTGCACCCACACAGGCCCACAACTAGGTTTGCCATTGGACTTACAAAAGGGTAATCCAACCCTGGAAGGGAGATTTGCAATCAGCAGCAGAAGATATCCCACGCCTATTGGACCAAAGCCTTCGTTCGCTGCCCCGAGGGCCAATTCCCAGAGAACAGAGACACCAATCACCCTGAGCCAGATGGGAATGGTCTGGCATTAGCAGGAGTGGCTTCTACAGGATTCGTTCCTCCAGCCTCCACCTGCCAGGGCTGGCATCAGGGAATACACAGACACACCTTTATCTTCAATCTTTTGGCTGCCTCCAGTATAGATGTTCAGCCCATGCCGGAGGGCCCTGACCCATGACTGAGGTTCCTGGCAGATGCTGCAATAGAAATCATGAAACTGAATCACAGGAGAGTGGGAATGTTTGTAGGGGTACGTCTACACTGCAGGCTTATTTCGGAACAAGCTATTCCCAAAGAGATCTCCCGGAATAGCTTATTGCGGAATAACGCATCCGCACACAAAAAGCGCATTGAAATTTAGAAATAGAGCGTCCACACTGACTGTATGCTACCTTGCATTTGAGGCCACCTGTAACCAGTTCAGGCAGGGCATTAGGTCAGCAGTGACTTCCTGGAGCTGCTGCCTGAGGCTCTCTGAAAGGTGGACTTAAAGGGACCCTCCCCCCTGGACAGCCGTTTCTCAAGTTCTTTTCCTGCTTGCGGGCATTTGTACTGTGTGCTTTGGTTGCCCTGTTTTTGGACACCACAGCACTCCGAGCCATGGGGCCAGAGCTGCCTCTGGGCACGCAACAGCCCCTGTCTGCAGGGTGCCCTCTTGGCTCTGCACGAACACGACCCAGAGCTCTTTGAGGAGACCCTCAGCCTGTGGGAGTGCAGCTCTTTCAGCCACATCCCGCTGTGGAGCGCCACTTCTGGCGGCTGGACACCAGTTCCAACTGGTGGGACTGGCTGGTCATGGAGCGGTGGGATGACCAGCAGTGGCTCCAGAACTTCTGCATGCGGAAGAGGATATTCCTGGAGCCGTGTGCTTGGCTCGCTCCTGCCCTCACAGGATGGGACACACAGATGAGACCCACCATTCCCCTGGAGAAGCAGGTCACCATCGTGATCTGGAAGCTCACCACGCCAGAAAGTTACTGATCCGTCAGCAACCAGTTTGGCGTGGGGAAGTCAACCATTGGGGGCCTTCATCATGCAGGTACAGTGCTCTCAGGCGAGAGTCCCAGGAGGGGGAGTGAAGTGCCGGAAAGGGGAACCCTAAGGAAAGGAGGAGAGGGGGGATGTGGGGAAGCCCTCCTGCGGGCTGTTCTCCAGTCCTGCCCCCCACAGTCTTACCAGGAGGTGGGCTAAATAGGGGGTGGCTCCTGGTGTGTTGGGGGGGAAGGCAGGGAGGGCTTGGGGACCTCCCAAGGGCTCTGGCACCTCTGTGATTCTCTGTTTTGTTTGTCTCCTTCTGCAAGTGGTGAGGACCATCAACACCATCCTGCTGCAGAGGGTCATCCACCTCCACAATGTTGCCGACTTTGCCATCCTGGGCATCCCCAACTACAGGGGGGCTATTCACAGCCCCTGCATCTCCATCCGAGCCCCCGACCACCGTGCAGCACAGTACATCGACCAGAAGAGATATTTGTGATGGTCCTGCAGGCCCTGGTCAACCAGCACAGCCAGTTCTTGGATGCCTTCTTCGGCTGGTTGGGGAAGGCACAGGACACCTGCGTGTTCAGAAACTCCAGCCTCTTCCACAAGCTGGAGGCCGGCACTTTCTTCCCCGAGTGCACCGCCAGGGTGGGGGATGTGGACATTCTGTGTTTCTGATCATTTTCCATTTTTTTTCTGTGTTTTTAATGTGTTTCCCACATTATAACTCTTTTGGTTCATTTTTTCTCCCTCCCACCTTTTCACTACTGCAAGAAAAGATAGAGGCAGAAAAACTGGACAAAATGGGGAATTTTGAAGAAAAAAAGAAGGAAAATTAAAGGCAAAACCCAGATTGTCTAGGAATATTTTTCAAATAAAATATTTTCACTGAAAAAGTTTCAAGGTGCTCCAATTGTGTTATGTCTGGAAATCCACAGGCCTGTTGGCAGAGCTGTGACACACACATTTCCCTGGGAGCTGGGGGGGGGAACCCTCTCTCTGACAAGAATACCAGCTCTTGGCCAAAGCACTAGGTGAGGTTCATTGGCCACAGTGAATACAAGAGGATGCTGGGAACTGAGGGAGGGGAGTGGGGCTTAGTGGGTGGAGCTGAGGGGGTCTAAGGAAGGACTCCTGGGGTCTGTCCCTGGGAAGGGGAGGGTGGATCTAGTAAGTCCCAGCCAGGGATGGGGCACTGGATTGCTGGGTTCTACACACAGCTCTGATGGCCGGGGGTGGGGACAAATGGATCCCATTGGTGTAGGTGGGGGAGTCAGGTCTCCTGGCCGACCCCCCTCCTGGAACCCTGCTTTGGAGGGGAGGCTAACCCACTAGCCCCACCCTTTGTGCTCAAAGCCCCATGCCAGAGCCATGAACTCTCGAATCCCGGGAAAGGAAAACCTCCTGAGGGACAGGGGACGGGCGCTTAAGGCGCTAGGCTGGGAGCTGCAGATTTGGGTTCCTGGCTCTGACCCCGATGGAAGATTCTGTCCATCCTCCTTGGGAAAGGGTTTGGGGGGAATTCTCCTTGCTCAGCTGGGTAGTGACCCAACGTGCCCTCAGCCAGGCCCCTGACAACTCAAATTCAAACAGACTCTGTCCAACACCCCCTGGGAAAGTCACTCTTGGAAACCTCTCATGGGGTCCCCTCTGCTTAGCTTTGGGCACAAGTGGGGCTGACACCTGAGAAACCTCTCATGGGGTCCCCTCTGCTTGGCTTTGGGGCACAAGTGGGGCTGACACATGAAGTCAGTGTAACTAGGATAACTGAATAGAGCTCTGCAAACAAAAGAAGAAGTTGCCTCTTGGATCAGAGCCTGCCTTTGCTGCCTATGGGCCAGTTCCCAGCGAGCGGAGACTCGTCTCACCCTGAGCTGGCTGAGAATGTGTCATCTCCCTAACAGGAGAGACTTCCTCAGACTTTGTTAATTAGTGAACTCAGTTCTTGGACCCAAGGAATAAAGACACCCACCTTTCTCTGCAATCCTCTGGTGCCTCCCTCATAGAATTCTGTCCCTACAGCCCCTGCCTGAGGGCCCTGGTCCGTGCCTGGGGTTCCTAGGGGCTGCTGCAATAGAAATTATAAATCATATCACAGGAGGGAGGGAACGTTTGGAGGAGGCAACATGTTCAAGTTGGGACAGGTGGGAAAACAGAAAAATAGTTTCATAAATATACGGACATTGCAAATTTGCTACCCCTTGGTAGGGTTCATAGGCTTTTACAATATTTTTTCAACGATTTTATAGAAAATGAGTGTTTCGGATAATTTTAGGGTTTTTTCGGTGCTTCTTTCACCACATTATTACTCTGTCAGCTCACTTCCCCTCCCCGTTTTTATTACTGTAAGAAAAGGGAAAGGCAGAAAATTCCTGGCCTTGGGAGAGGATCCAGCTGTGAGAAGCCTTGGGTGTCAGTTCTCCTAGGCTTTATTTCCAGCTGTGTCTCGGCTGGTTAACTGCAGGAAGTTTCCAGCAGGGATGCTATGAAGGAATCTATGCAGGAACAGAGCCCTTCATGGGTTTGAGAGCAGGTTTCTCTCTCACCAGCCAGGCCTAGGGAGGGAGTGTCAGATCCTCCAGAGATGCCGGCTCCAGCCTCCCTGTCTCTGAATGAGCAGGCTGGCCTCAGTACGTTCAGTAACAGCAAGTCTGGAGAGGAAACGGCATCTACAAACCCGGATGAGACCAGCTCCCCTGTTGGCTTATGCGCCCAGTGCGGGCGAGGCCTTGGGTGTTTCGCCACTGGGCTGTGAAACCTAACAGGGTATTTTTGTGGTTGTTTCCATGGGGGTTAGTGCGGGCGAGGCCTTGGGTGTTTCGCCACTGGGCTGTAAAACCAAACATGGGATTGTTTCCATGGGGGTGCATGGGGCCTGGCATTCGTGAGAGCTCCCCCTGCCATGTTTACAAAGTTGGGGCATGTCAGAAATATGAGACAGGGATACAATCATAGAAAACGAGAACTGAAAGGAGGTCAACAAGTGGAACCCACTACCTTCACAGCCGGACTAAAGCACCATCTAGATCAGTTAGAACATAAGAGCAGCCAGACTGGGTCCGACCAAAGGTCCCTCCAGCCTAGTGTCCCATCTGCCGACAGTGGCCAGTGCCAGGTGCCCCAGAGGGAGGGAACAGAACAGGGAGTCCTCACATGATCCCGCCTCTGTCACCCATTTCCAGACAAACGGAGGCTGGGGACACCATTCCTAGCCATCCTCGCTGATAGCTCCTCTTAGACTCCTCTTTTCTAAGCTGAAAAGTCCCAGTCTTTTTAATCTCTCTTCATATGGGACCCGTTCCAAAGGGGAAGGCAGAAAACTCCTAGGCTGTGTCTAGACTGGCAAGTTTTTCCGCAAAAGCAATTGCTTTTGTGGAAAAACTTGCCAGCTGTCTACACTGGCCCCTCCTAGCCATCCTCGCTGATAGCTCCTCTTAGACTCCTCTTTTCTAAGCTGAAAAGTCCCAGTCTTTTTAATCTCTCTTCATATGGGACCCGTTCCAAAGGGGAAGGCAGAAAACTCCTAGGCTGTGTCTAGACTGGCAAGTTTTTCCGCAAAAGCAATTGCTTTTGTGGAAAAACTTGCCAGCTGTCTACACTGGCCCCTTGACTTTCCTCAAGAACACTGACTTCCTACTGTCTGAAATCAGTGCTTCTTGCGGCAATACTATGCTGCTCCCGTTTGGGCAAAAGTCCCTTTTGCGCAAAGCTTTTGCGCAAAAGGGCCAGTGTAGACAGCTCGGATTTGTTTTGCGCAAAAAAGCCCCGATGGTGAAAATGGTGAACGGGACTTTTTTGTGCAAAAGCGCGTCTAGATTGGCACAGACGCTTTTCCTCAAAAAGTGCTTTTGCGGAAAAGTGTCCGTGCCAATCTAGACTCTCTATTCCGCAAATGCTTGTAAACTTTTCCGTTAAAAGCATTTGCGGAAAATCATGCCCGTCTAGACGTAGCCCTAATAATTTTTGTTCTGCTTTTCTCAACGCTGCAGCTGGGGCATTGGCAGCCTCTGGGGGGTTTTCTGCGGGTCACTCAGCAGCCTCCCTTCACGGATTTCCAGCTCCCGGCTGCGTCTCGGGGAGATTTGCTCTGCCGAGTGGCTGAGTTCTTGTCGGGCAATTCTCCCCCTGCTGGTGCCCCCGCCCAGAGATCAGCACCTTGTGCCCCTCGCGCCCAGCGCAGCCTTGAGTGCAGGGACTGACCTGCCCCCTCGTCCCCAGGCGGAGCAGGTGCTGCAGGAGTTCGTGGGCAGCAAGAAGGCAGAAGCAGCCGCCATTCTCCAGGCCAACGAAATAGTCAGAGATGGAAAAGAACCAGGCAGGTAAGTCCCTGGGGAAGGGTTTTAAGCAGGTTTCTTTCCATTTTTCAATCATTTCAGCAACAACCCCTCTCCGCCCCGAAGCCCTCAGTAGAACAGAGCTACAGCTGGGAATCCACAGGGCAGCCCAGGGTGGGGTAGGGAGGCCAAGTGGGGCAAATTGTCCCAGGCCCCGGGCCCCCTCCCCACAAGAATGTCTGAAGGCTGAGGTCTGAGACAGGGAGTGCCAGAGTAAAGCCCACCCGAAATTGCTTTGCCCCAGACCCCTGAATCCTCTGGGCAGCACTGTCCTGAGCAGGCTAGTGTCACCTGCTTATTCCTTTCTCCAGATCAGTTATAAATAGATTGAATAGGATTTGTCCCAGGAGAGATGCCTGGGGGACCTCACTAGTTACCTCTCTCCAGTCTGAAAACTGACCATTTATTCCTACTCTTTGTTTCCTGTCTCTTAACCAGTTCTCAGTCCATGAAAAGACCTTCCCTGTTATCCCATGACAACTTACTTTACTGAAGAGCCTTTGGTGAGGGACCTTCTCAAAAGCTTTCTGGAAATCTCAGTCTACTATAGCCACTGGGTCCCTCTATCTGACAGAACTTTGTCTAACCTGCTCTTAAATACCTGCAATAATGCAAATTCCAGAACCTCCCTAGGCAATTTATTCCAGTGTTCAACCGCCCTGAGAGTTAGTTAGTGTTGGAAAATCATGTCAGTCTAGACGTAGCCCTAGTAATTTTTGTTCTGCTTTTCTGAACCTTTTCCAGTGCCGATATATCTTTTCGTGCTATCCTCAGATGTTCAGGAGGATTGTTTTTCTCCCTCCTCCTTCTAACTCCCTTTTAGGGACTTGACAGCTGCTATTACGTCCCCTTCCGTTTTCTCTTTTCTGGACTAAACATACCCAGGTCCTTCAGTCTTCCCCCACAGGTCATGTTTCTGAAGCCCCACCGCTGCATGCCAGAACCAGGACCGCCCCCTCTCCCAGGAAAGGGACACATCCTGAGGGACAGGGAACAGGCTCCTATGGCATTAGGCTGGGAGCTGCAGATTTTGGTGCTTGGCTCTGACCCCGATATAAGTTTCTGTCCATTGTCAGCTGGGTAGTGACCAAGGCACCTTCAGCCAGGCCCCTGAAAATTCAAATTCAAACAGACTCCGTCTGACACCCCCGAAAGAGTCACTCTTAGAAACCCCTCGTGGGTTTCCCTCTGCTTAGCTTTGGGCACAAATGGGGCTGACACCCAGAGTCAGTGTAACTAGGATAACTGGATGGAGCTCTGCAAACAAAAGAAGTTGCCTCTTGGATCAGAAACTTCCTTTGCTGCCTATGGGCCAGTTCCCAGCGAGCGGAGACTCGTCTCACCCTGAGCTGGCTGAGTATGTGTCATCTCCCTAACAGGCGTGATTTCCACAGTCTTTGTTAATTAGTGAACTCAGTTCTTGGACCCAGGGAATAAAGAGACCCACCTTTCTCTGCAATCATCTAGTTGCCTCCCTCACACAGTTCTGTCCCTACAGCCCCTGCCTGAGGGCCCTGGTTCATGCCTGGAGTTCCTGGCGGCTGCTGCAATAGAAATCATAATCACAGGAGCGTGGGAATGTTTGTAGGAGACAACTTGTTCAAGTTGGGGCAGGTTGGAAAACAGAAACACGATTTCACAAAAAAGAGTCACTTTGCAAATTTGTTACCCCTTGGCTGGCTTGCAGGAAGTTTTTAATATTTTGTCAAAATGTTTAAAGAAAATTAGTGATTATGGTAATTTTAGGGTCTTTTTTTGCCATGTTATAACACTTACAGCTCATTTCTTCCTCTGCTTATGCCTTCAGCCAAATCCAACCAGACGCTATTCAACACTCCGTAGGAGGTTCACTCTTAGAAACCCTCCCTGGGGTTTCCTCTGCTTAGCTTTGGGTCACAAGTGGGGCTGATGGAGCTACCTGCTACCCTGAGTCAGTGCAATCAGAGCTGGATGGAGTTCTGCTAACAGCAGCAGCAGATGCCCCTTGGATAAAAACCTTCCTTTGATGCCTGATGGGTCACTTCCCAAGGAGCAGAGACACGTATCAAACAAACTATAACATATAATCACAGGAGGGAGGGAAGGTTTGTAAGAGACAGACCGTTATAACTGGGGCTGGCTGGAAAACAGAAAAATGATTTCACCAAGAATTGTAACAGTTCAAATTTGCCGCCCCTTGGTCGGCTTCTAGGCAGTTTTTAGTATTTTGTTGAAATGTTTATAGAAAATTAGTGGTTATGATAATTGTAGGCTATTTTGGTTTTCTTTTTCCATTTTACAACTCTTCCGGCTCACTTTGTGCTTCCCTCCGCCCCGCCATCTCCCTCTTTGGCTATGTTTAGATTGCTAGCTTCTTTTGGGAGAAACTTTTCTGGAAAAGATCTTCTGGAAAAGCTTCTTCCGAAAGAGAGCCTCCACACAGCAAAAGCGCAACAAAAAAGTGATCTGCTTTTTCAAAAGATAGTGTCCACACTGATTGGATGCTCTCTTGGGCTGTGTCCAGACTCAGGGTTTTTTTTCGGGAAAAGTAGCCTTTTTCCGAAAAAACTTCACCTGCGTCTAGACTGCAGCCGCGTTCTTTCGAAATTAAATCGAAAGAACGCGGCTTTTCTTTCGACGGCGGTAAACCTCATTTCACGAGGAAGAACGCCTTCTTTCGAAAGTGCTTCTTTCGAAAGAAGGCGTTCTTGAATGTAAATAGGGCTTCTTCGAAAGAGAGCATCCAGACTCACTGGGTGCTTTCTTTCGAAAAAGCGGCTTGCTCTTTCGAAAGTTCCGCGTGCAGTCTAGACGCTCTCTTTCGAAAGAGCCTCTTTCGAAAGAGGCTTGCAGTCTAGACATAGCCTTGCATGTAAGCTGTGATTACTATGGACGGAGAGGCCACCAGAGTACCTCAGAAAAAGGCTTCTTTCTCGTAGAATGAGGATTACCGCCGTCGGAAAAACCCCTCTGTGCTTTCTATCTTCTGTCAAAAGAACTCAATGGCAGCGTGGATGCAAGAATTGCTTTTTCAGAAAAACACTGTAGTGTAGACACGCCCTGTATTGCTTCAGGAAAAGGGAGAGGGAGAAAAACTGGAAAAAATGGGGGATTTTATTTTTTTTAAAAAGGAAAATATAGGAAAACCCCAGTTTGTTGAGGAATATGTTTAATGCTGGGGGTTGTTTGGGTTTTTTTTCCAAATAAAATATTTTCCCTGAAAAGGTTTCAAACAGCTCCAGGTCTCAAACCTCCTCCCAAGCAGCTGGAGAGATGAAAAGGGGCTTCAGTGTCAAGAAGAATGCAGCACAAAGGCTCTGATTTATCCTAAAGTTACTCCAGACCCGCTCCTCCTTCCCCAGAGCCAGGCTGCAGCTAGGCGGGTGCATGTGACCTTTGCCTGGCTGAGCAGGAGGATAAGGAGTCGGAGCAGGGACCTGGTACCTGCTCTGCACAGGGCACAGGTGAGACTGTCTCTAGGGTCCGCACCTGCACAAGGACATTGGCCAACAGGGAAGGGCTCAGACCAGAGCTACCGTCACGTCTAAGTGTATGTAGCCTAACACAGAGAAGCTGTGATGCGGGCATGACACATAATGAGCACCAGACGGACATGCATGGAGGTGTCCTTGCGCTGTTCCTTGATTTACTGTGGAGGAAGCTGTAGGCCAAGGCAGGGACTTGCCTACGGTCACACAGAGAGTCTGCAGCGGAGCTGGGAACCGAGCGCAGATCTGCCAAGTCCCCAGGCCCTGGTTTAACCTGACGAGTTAGGCCTCTCCCAGTCTTTTACAGTTCCAGTATTGTACCATTTTGTGTAGCCAAGCGCGCAGATCTGCCAAGTCCCCAGGCCCTGGTTTAACCTGACGAGTTGGGGGAAGTAGCCTGTTGTGGAGCCATTAGGCTGGGCTCTGGAGAGTGTGACTCCGTTCCCAGCTCTGGCATCACGAAGGATATTCCTGTGCTCCCTGTGAGGGGCGGGACCCCCTGCTCATGTCCACGTGACCAAGCCACCTCTCCTGGAGCAAGCGTGGCTACACGGCACAGTGGGACATGTAACAGGGCAGGGCAGAGATGCTGGGATGAGCCGAGGAATGGAAACCTACCTTCTGTGAGGAGACTCAAAGAGCCCTCTTTACGTAAGCAAACATGACCCATTTTGTGTAGCCAAGCGCAGGCTGGGAGGAGCTGGGATTGCTCTCTATGGATACATCCGAGGGATAAATTCCAATGCTGGCATGAAAACAGTGAGCACAAACTGCCCCTGAACATGTTTAGGGTTGAAACGAAGGGAAGGTTTCCAGCCGCGGTCTAGAGAACAGGAGCAATAAGGGAAGACTGAAAGAACTGGGCTTGTTTAGTTTAGAAAAAAGACTGAGGGGGGACATCAGAGTGATTGGCCAACAGGGAAGGGCTCAGACCAGAGCTACCGTCACGTCTAAGTGTATGTAGCCTAACACAGAGAAGCTGTGATGCGGGCATGACACATAATGAGCACCAGACGGACATGCATGGAGGTGTCCTTGCGCTGTTCCTTGATTTACTGTGGAGGAAGCTGTAGGCCAAGGCAGGGACTTGCCTACGGTCACACAGAGAGTCTGCAGCGGAGCTGGGAACCGAGCGCAGATCTGCCAAGTCCCCAGGCCCTGGTTTAACCTGACGAGTTAGGCCTCTCCCAGTCTTTTACAGTTCCAGTATTGTACCATTTTGTGTAGCCAAGCGCAGGCTGGGAGGAGCTGGGATTGCTCTCTATGGATACATCCGAGGGATAAATTCCAATGCTGGCATGAAAACAGTGAGCACAAACTGCCCCTGAACATGTTTAGGGTTGAAACGAAGGGAAGGTTTCCAGCCGCCAGAGGAGGGACGTTCTGGAGCAGCCTCCCAAGGGGAGCAGTGGGGGACAAGGCTGCGGAGGGGAGGGCGTGAGGCCCCTCTCCCCGGTGGTGGGGCCCGAGGTGGGCAGGGTGCTGACTTACTACAGAGAATTCTCCTCCAGGTGCCTGCCCGTTGGCTCTTGCGCCCATGCGGCCCCTGACAGGAATGTGTCCCTGGGCCAGATTGGCAGAGCCCGGAGGCTTTTCGCCTCCCTCTGCAGCCTGGGGCACCTGCAGCATCAACAGTATCAGTGGTGGGTTCTCTGTCCCTTGGAGTCTTTACGTTGCTATTGGAAGGCCTGAGGAGCTCAGCCAGGGGTTCGGGGTCTACACGGGGGGTATGTGAGGGCAGGGGACTGGACTGGATGGCCTCTCGCAGTCTTTTACAGTTCCAGTATTATACCATTTTGTGTAGCCAAGCACAGGCTGGGAGGAGCTGGGATTGCTCTCTATGGATACATCCGAGGGATAAATTCCAATGCTGGCATGAAAACAGTGAGCACAAACTGCCCCTGAACATGTTTAGGGTTGAAACGAAGGGAAGGTTTCCAGCCGCCAGAGGAGGGACGTTCTGGAGCAGCCTCCCAAGGGGAGCAGTGGGGGACAAGGCTGCGGAGGGGAGGGCGTGAGGCCCCTCTCCCCGGTGGTGGGGCCCGAGGTGGGCAGGGTGCTAGCTTACTACAGAGAATTCTCCCCCAGGTGCCTGCATGTTGGCTCTTGCACCCATGCGGCCCCTGACAGGAATGTGTCCCTGGGCCAGATTGGCAGAGCCCGGGGGCTTTTCGCCTCCCTCTGCAGCCTGGGGCACCTGCAGCGTCAACAGTATCAGTGGTGGGTTCTCTGTCCCTTGGAGTCTTTACGTTGCTATTGGAAGGCCTGAGGAGCTCAGCCAGGGGTTCGGGGTCTACACGGGGGGTATGTGCGTGTGTGTCTGTGGCGGCCAGGGCCGGAGGTCGGTCTAGGGCCGCATGTACAGTCAGTCTATGCAGGGCAGGGAGCAGTAACAGAGGCAAAGCTGGGATGTGCTGGGTACCAACTTGCCAGCTCAGCCAGGCCTCCACTACCCAGGCTACCACGCCTCTGCTGCTATTTGCATGTGGCTAGCTTGGTCTAGCTCGGTCAGCAGGGAATCACACCCCTAGGCGGCCGGAGGTCGGTCTAGGGCCGCATGTACAGTCAGTCTATGCAGGGCAGGGAGCAGTAACAGAGGCAAAGCTGGGATGTGCTGGGTACCAACTTGCCAGCTCAGCCAGGCCTCCACTACCCAGGCTACCACGCCTCTGCTGCTATTTGCATGTGGCTAGCTTGGTCTAGCTCGGTCAGCAGGGAATCACACCCCTAGGCCATTGTGTCGACAAAGGTTCTGTTTACACTGGCACTTGCATTGTTAAAACTTGTCCCTCCAAACTGCAGCCAGGGAGGTTTAGGTTGGACATTAGGAAAAAGTTCCTACCTGTCAGGGTGGTGAAACACTGGAATCAATTGCCCAGGGGGGTTATGGAGTCTCCATCTCTGGAGATATTGAAGAGCAGGTTGGACAGACACCTGTCAGGGATGGTGTAGACGGTGCTTGGTCCTGCCTGAGGGCAGGGGACTGGACTGGATGGCCTCTCGCAGTCTTTTACAGTTCCAGTATTATACCATTTTGTGTAGCCAAGCACAGGCTGGGAGGAGCTGGGATTGCTCTCTATGGATACATCCGAGGGATAAATTCCAATGCTGGCATGAAACCAGTGGGCACAAACTGCCCCTGAACATGTTTAGGGTTGAAACGAGGTGATGTTTCCAGCCACCAGAGGAGGGACGTTCTGGAGCAGCATCCCAAGGGGAGCAGTGGGGGACAAGGCTGCGGAGGGGAGGGCGTGAGGCCCCTTTCCCCGGTGGTGGGGCCCGAGGTGGGCAGGGTGCTGACTTACTACAGAGAATTCTCCTCCAGGTGCCTGCCCGTTGGCTCTTGCGCCCATGCGGCCCCTGACAGGAATGTGTCCCTGGGCCAGATTGGCAGAGCCCGGAGGCTTTTCGCCTCCCTCTGCAGCCTGGGGCACCTGCAGCATCAACAGTATCAGTGGTGGGTTCTCTGTCCCTTGGAGTCTTTACGTTGCTATTGGAAGGCCTGAGGAGCTCAGCCAGGGGTTCGGGGTCTACACGGGGGGTATGTGCGTGTGTGTCTGTGGCGGCCAGGGCCGGAGGTCGGTCTAGGGCCGCATGTACAGTCAGTCTATGCAGGGCAGGGAGCAGTAACAGAGGCAAAGCTGGGATGTGCTGGGTACCAACTTGCCAGCTCAGCCAGGCCTCCACTACCCAGCCTACCACGCCTCTGCTGCTATTTGCATGTGGCTAGCTTGGTCTAGCTCGGTCAGCAGGGAATCACACCCCTAGGCCATTGTGTCGACAAAGGTTCTGTTTACACTGGCACTTGCATTGTTAAAACTTGTCCCTCGGGGGTGTGAACCCCCTCCCCCCCCCCACAAATGTTTCCACAGCAAAAAGGGCAGGTGCAGACAGTGCTCCATGAGCAAGGAAAGTAAAATGAGTCATGGCTGTTTTGGGGGGGGGAGCGGGGGGAGGAGTATTTTCTGCCTCAGTACTTTCCCATTGTTTTCACTGTGTAAATTTTAAAGCTCTCTCCCCTTTGGAAAGTAGCCCCCTCCCCCCCCCCATTTTCACTTTTTTCTTGGGCTGCTCTGTCCCTGCTCCAAAGCTGCAGACAGAGGGAAAAGTCACCAAGGGGGGAAGAAGGAAAGAGGAGGGGAATGAGGCCAACTGAAAATTCAATTCTTCAAAAATGATTTGCAACCTAAGTTTATAGACACGGCCTGGGCAAGAAAACTGATTTATTTCATTCTCTTCCCAAATTTCCCTCCCCACAGTCGAGACAAGGAGGGGAGGTGGGGTAACGTTTATTGGCCCAACTTCTGTTGGTGAGAGAGACAAGCTCACACAAAGCTCTTCTTCAGGGCTGGGAAATGTACACAGAATCTATTCTACAGACCCGCCTCTGTACAACGACATCACCCAGTGGTGTGAAAATCCACACCCTGGAGCCACACAGTTCTACTGACCTCAGTCTCCTGGCTCGCACAGCGACATGATGAAGGGGGGGCCTCTCTGGGAGGTGTATTAATGACGCGGAAGGGAGAGGTCTCTCCGGCGGGTACAGGAGGGTCTCCGCTTACGTGCCACTGCTCTGGTGTCCCTGTCGGCTGCCCTCAGAGCGCTGCACGGATGGTTAGCGCGAGCAGTTAACACACCTGGGAACATTTCAGACGACAGGGCCCGTTAACGCTCCTCCAGTCATGGGCAGGGAGCAGAGGGGGCAGGGTTGCCGGCCGGCAGTAAAGTCAGGGACAGCCCATGAAAAAGAGCCAGAACATTTCCATATCGGTGAAAGTTCACAGAGCTTTGGAGTGGAGCTTTGCCCAGGGCAGCCCCAGAGTCCCAGGGCAGGGGCAGAGAGGGGAACTATCCCAGTGGGGGGCTCCCTCCGACCTGCTGCTGGCTGGTGGGGGCTGCTCTTCCCTGCCTCTGGGTTAGCAAGGCAGCAACTTTTGGGGGGTGCACCCTCCGCACACACCCCTGCTGAGCTCCCTGCAGCTGGGGGGACAGGGGACAGCGAGCTGAGCATAGCAGCCTCCAACAGGTTCCCTGCCAGTAAGTCACAGAGGGGCAGTCGCTGCTGGCAGCCCCGGTCCCAGCTGGGTGAGTGGCTGCTGGGCATCCCCTCCCACTGAACGCTGAGTATTGCTCACTTCTGTCCTGACCTCAGAATGTGTCGGCACAAAAGTCGGGTTCTGTCATTTTTTCTACACTGTCCATAACAATCATTCTGAGCACTTGGCAACCCTGGAGGGGGGGAGGGAGGCAGCTGTGGGGGGCTGTTAGGGGGTTACCGATTGCTGTGCTAAGCCCTAATTGCAGGGTCTCTGCTCAGCCCATGGTTTTTAGTGTGTGGCAAAATTACCAAACATAAGCTCCCAGAAGACTGTCCAATAAAAGTATCAACCAACCCTGCCCCTTGTCGCCTTAGTATCTGGGGACCGACTGAGCTCTAACAACACTTTATCCACCCCATACGCACATTACCAAGAGAAAACCCTAATACTTCCTGCACATAGAAAATATTCCCGGCCTAAAATGGACTTTTCCCACCCAAAACCAGACAGTCGGCTTAAAAAGACCATTTTTCAGTGAAATTACGGGAAAATATTGGGATTTGAAAATTCAGCTGGCTCTGCTTAGGGACTGAAAGATCTGCAAGAGCTGGTACATCTGGGCAGGAGAAAGGGGATAAAATTCGGGGCTGGGTGTTCACAGAGACGCAAACGCCCCTTTGGAGGCTGTTTGGATTGTTACACCCCGAGTTACAGGAATGTTGCGTCCTCTTCCATTCCCTTAGGTCAGTGGTCAACAATGAGTAGATCCGGATCGACTGGTAGATCTTGGAGTCTCTGACAGGGGATCCTGATTGGTTGGGCCAAAAGGCTGTCAAGTGCCGGCACTTCAACTGCCCCTCTACCTAATGCTGCTCATCTCCTGCCCTTTGCCTTGGAGTTGCCTCCCCCGTCCTCGGGAGCCTCCTGCTTGCTGTGCAGGGCAGGAAAGGGAGAGGAGGGTGCTGATGTCAAGGTGCCCCCCCTCCCACCTTGTATCCTGTCTCCAGAGCGGGGGGCACAACAGGACGTGGGATGGAGTTTGCTGGCTGCTTTAGGGAGTGGTGCAGGGCCAGGGCCAGGGCAGGGGTGAGTCTGCCTTAGCCCCACTGCACCCCCACCCAGGAGCCACCTGAGGTAAGCGGTGCCCAGTCAGACCCCACATCCCAAAACCCTACCCCAGTCATGAACCCCCTCCTACACCTCTGCCCTAGCCCCGAGCACCCCTGCATCCAAACACCAACCCAGAGCCTGCACCTAGAACCCCCTCTGGCATCCCAACCGCCTGCCCCAAGCTCAGCTCAAGACCAGAGCCTGCCCCCCGACCCGCTGCTCCAGCCTGGTGAAAGTGAGGGAGGAGGGGGGACGAAGGGAGGGAGGATGGAGTGAGCAGGGGCGGGGCCTCGGAGAAGGGGCCAGAGTATTTGGGTTTGAAGTAGATCTTGGATTGCACTTCAATTCAAAAAGGGATCTCATGCTTCAAAAGGTTGGAGACCCCTGCCTTAGCCGTTGTACTTCTTCATTCCTCTCCCTCACCCCTTAAGCCAACACCCTGCCCCCGTGAGATCTTTCCGTGACCATCTGGGCCTCCCCAAATCACCCAGCCAACTCCAGAGCTCCTGCCACTGCCCCCTGGACTGGGTGTTGCAGGAGGAGATGCCATGTAGTTCAGGCTGTGTCTACACTGCACCCCGTGTGCGGCGGTGGGGAGGGCGTGTGTAGCAACTACGTGCCACAGTGGAAGGTGTCAGGAGCTACAGGGGTCGGTCAAAGGCTCCGGTCCAGGGATGCAGCAGCAAATGGCTCTGGCAGCTCCCCCCTGCTGGTACCTTTTCCTGCTGCCTTCCCTGAAATAGCCTTTCCTGATTGCAGGAGCTGGAGCAATTGCCACCAGGAAGTCCTGTCTGGTGGCCAGAAAACCTCACAGAGAGCTGCAGAAGGGCTTAGGACTCAGGGCTCCTGCGTTCCAGCAGTAGAATCCCTTGTCCATGTGGAACTGGCCTCTGGGGAGGTCGGCTGGCACCGTCCCAGCTGCAGGGCACCCCTGGGTGCTGCCGGTTGGGGCTCCCCTGCTGGCCAAGTGATCAAAGGTGTTCTCTGACTTGTCAGCTCATTGGGGGTGGGAATTTCACATGCCTCTGAGGTCATGCAGCGACGCAAACACACCACTAGGAAGAGTACTGGGTCAACAGAGCCCTCTATAAATATCACCACAACTCGGGCACTGGGTTCAGTTCCACAAGGGTGGAGGTTGGAAGCGAACACAAAGGTAAGTGCTGGTGGTGGGGGTGCATGTGCAGGGGAGGGGGGATTATTTCATGCTGCATTTGTAGTGGGGAGGTTGGGGGAAAACTGCCCCATGGAGTCCCTGACCAGTGCTGTACTGATGACAGATAGATGGGAGGGTCTAATGGGAGATACTGGGTTAGATGATCCCGTTGATTTGATCCTGGCAGTGGGGGGGCTGGTGGATTTGCCCTGGCGTGGAAGGGGATGGGTGGATTTGAGCTAGAGAGGGTCTGATTTGCTACAGGAAGGCGGCCAGGATAGACAGACGTGGTTCTGAATGGCAAATTCAGTGGGACAGATTAGCCTGAGAACAGACCAAAGGTCCATCTAGCCCAGTGTCCTGTCTTTTAACAGCGTCAATGCCAGGTGCCCCAGAGGGAGAGAACAGAGCAGGGAATCCTCAAGCGATCCCTCCCCTGTCGCCCATTCCCAGTTCTGCAAACAGAGGCTAGGGACACCATCTCTGCCCATCCTGGCTAAGAGCTGCCAATGGACTTTTCCTCCATGAATTTATCTAGCTCTTTTTGGAACCCTGTGAAAGCTCTGGCCATCACAACATCCTCTGGGAAGGAGTTCCACAGGTTGATTGTGCTCCGCATGAAGAAATACTTCCTTTTGTTTATTTTAAACCTGCTGCCTATTCATTTCATTGGGAGACCCCTAGTTCTTATGTTATGGGAACAAGTAAAATATGTTTTCCTTATTCACTTTCTCTACAACTGTCATGACTTTATAGACCTCTATCATACCCCCCCCCCTTAGTCTCCTCTTTTCTAAACTGAAAAGTCCCAGTCTTTTTAATCTCTCTTCATACAGCACCTGTTCCAAATCCCTCATCATATTTGTTGCCTTTTTATGAACCTTGTCCAATGCCAAAATACCATTTTTCAGATGAGGCAACCACATATGTATTCAGTATTTAAGAAGTGGGCATACCATGGATTTATACAGAGGCAATAAGATTGTCTTTTCTTATTTGCTATCCCCTTTTTAAAGATTCCTAAATTCTGTTTGCTTTTTTTTTTTTGACTGCTGCTACACACTGAGTGGATGTTTTCAGAGAACTATCCACAATGACTCCAAAATCTCTCTCTTGAGTAGTTGTAGCTAAATTAAAGTCCCCATCATTTTAGATGTATAGTTGGGATTATTTTTTCCAATGTGCATAACTTTGCCTTTATCAACAATACATTTAATTTGCCATTTTGTTCCCCAATCACTTATTCCGGTGAGATCTATTTGAAGCTCTTCAGAGTCTGCTTTGGTCTTAATTATCTGAAGCAGTTTTGTGTCTGCTCCAAATTTTACCGCTTCACTATTTACCCCATTGCTAGATCAGTTATAAATAAATTGAATAGGATTGGTCCCAGTACAGACACTTGCAAGACACCACTAGTTACCTCTCTCCAGTCTGAAAACTGACCATTTATTCCTACTCTTTGTTTTCTGTCTTGTAATCAGTTCATGAGAGGACTTTACCTCCTATGCCATGGCAATTCACTTTACTTAAGAGCCTTCAGTGAGGGATAGCAGAGATTAGAATCTGGACTTCACTCCAAAGAGGTCAGTGGCGTCTAGACTTGCACCAGAGCAATTAGAATCAGAATCCACCCCAAATGCCATTTATGATCATTTATGTCGACCTCCCCAGTAAACCTCATCCCACGAGGCATACCGGAGAGGTCGACAAATGCCTTTGATGTTGACCGCGGAGCATCCAGACTCCTGCACTGAGCCGACAAAGAGCTGATCGGCACAGGGCGGCAGCCATTTTAATTTAAATGAAGCAGTGATTATTTAAATCGCCGCTTCGTTTCCCTTTGCCTACAACCCTAATCTACATGGTTCCGTCGACGGAGCCATGTAGTCTGGACGTGCCCTGAATACCCTGTGTGCAGGAAGGGTACAGTCTTGTGAGGAACTAAGTGTCTTCATAATACTTCTTTTTGCATGGGAAATACAGCTTACTTGTAGAGAGACAGGCGTTGTTGCACAACACATGGGGTAGCCAATCTTGGAGAGTGAGAGAACAATTCCCCTTCTCCTTTCTCCTCTCCATTGTAATGAAAGTTCTCTCCCTCATGTAGGCTGTACATGCCCTGTGTCTGGCTTGCCCATGATGGCTTTTTCAGCACTGGCCTCGCAAGAGGACAACTATAAACAACAGGTCATCATGGGGATGGCGTCACTGGTGTCTCTGTCCAAGTGCCTCGTTCACAATGGGACAGACCCGGACAAGCATGAGAAGATAAAGGGACACTGCAGAGATGCCTTGGGGACAATGAAGGCTGCGGAGAAGGCGTTAGAAGCCCACAGGAGTGCCCTCAGTGACCGAATCGGGGAAGGGCACGTCAAAACAAAAGAGCTGGCAGATGAGCAGAAGCAAAAGGAAATAAAGCTCTGTCAGTTGAAGATCCAAATGAAGAACTGTGAGCAGATGAACGTCTGCATCCAAGACCAGGTAACCGTGGCTCAGAAACACCAGTATGAATTGCTGACACTGCTGAGGAAGGCAAGAAGGGAGGAGAAGTGTTTTAAAGCCCTTTCCAACATCACCCTAGTGCTCCTGCCTATTTGCAATCTCCTAGGTAAGTGCATGCTAAGGCCACACCGTCCCATGGTGCAGCAGGACAGCAGACCCTTGTCATCTGCTGGTAGGACGTCATGCTGGCTAACAGCTCAGAGGCAATCAGAGCACAAGGGTCAGCGTGTCGCATGTGTCCATCCTGTCCCCCTCTCCCCCCGCCGCTTCCATGATGGCCACCACCATGGCAGACGCCCCAGGGGTGAACCAGGCACCTGGAGCCGAGAGCCTGAGCTGCTGCCTCGGGAGCTAGAATCCATATTTCCTAGCTGTGGGGTGCAGGAGACTCGTTCTCTGTGGACTGGGCATGAGGAGAGGGGCACAACACCCACCCACCAGTGGGGGTTCCTGGTGCTGTGGGCCCCAGAGGGAACGCCCAGGCACAGTACCCAGGAAAGCTATTGTCTAGGGCTGGGGTGGGAAGCCGGCGTGTGGGAGGCCTGGATACAAAGGGGTTAACACAAGTCCTGACTGTCCCCAATGGGTGAGCTCAGCTGGAAGGCCCTAGTAGAGACCACAACTCTCATCTCCACCCCTGGTTCTCCCCAGGTTCAACACACGAGGGCCCCCCTGCAAGGTTCCCATCCAAAGCCCATTGGGTTCCTTCTGTTGACTCTGGTGGGCTTTGGAGCCACCCTCAGGCTTCCTGGCAAGGCTCTGGTGTTGTCACTAGTGTCCTCTGGGAGTTCGCTTTGTGCCCCATGGATACATGAAGCATCCAGCCCCCTGACTCACTGCTCAGCCTCCCTTTCCCCTCCAGTAGCCCTGCCCTGGCGATAGTTCACACTGCCCCGGGGCCTCTCCCTGCCCCTCCGCTATCTCTCTGCTTCCCGGCTCTGGTTTGGCCGGCTGCTTCTACCAGCCCTGCAGGGCCCCTCCTCCGGACCACAGCTCTCCTGGACTTCCACCGTGGATCCCCTACCAGCCCCATGGCCTGGGGCAGGGGGATTTCTTCTTGGGGGCAGGGGGTGGCTGCTGCTTCCAGCGTGGTCCCAGGGTGGGAGATTGTCTGGCTCTGGTTGAGGACTGGGGGATGGGGCCTGTCCCAGCTACAGGGTTCCTGCTCCTCTCTGATTCCTGGACAGGGGGACTGGCTGGCTCAGGTGGTGGGAAATCGGACACAAGGCCTGTCTCCTGCAGGGCGTGCCAGCCTTAGGCTTATCGGAGGGATCTCTGCAGCTGCTGTATCCATCCTGCCATTCACCAGCTTCCTTGCTGTGGGCTGTAACAAACTCTTGTTCTCTGTGGACTATGCACCAGGGCAGGCCTAGCCTAGCTAGCTCAGCTGACAGTGCACCAACCTCTTAATCTTAGGATCATGGGGTCAAGCCTTATGCCATTACAATGCTCTTCTTTTCAGCAATCAATTGCCAAGGGAGGCTGTGGAATCTCCATCATTGGAGACATTTAAGAGCAGGTTGAATAAACTGGAATTTCCCAGCTGTGCCATTTCAAGCACCCAGGTGTAGACGGAGCACTAAAGCAAGCCGATTGGCTGCAAAGAGATGTGATGGCAGGTAACGAGATGTAAAAATGAGAAATAGCAGCAAGAAAGAAGATGCAACAAACACTTCATGCAGCAACCCGTGGTCAGTTCAACGCCCAGTTGCTCTCCACAATTTCACCGGTTGCACTCTCTAGAGCAGAACCCAGCACTTGCGCATCGGCTACTTCCTGGTGCAGCACATCGGGGGGCAGGGCAAGGGGTGCCTGGGGATGTCTCTCTTGCTCTCTCCCCCTTTCTGACAAGTGGATCCAGCTGAGGCTGAGGGGACCTGAACTCTGTAGGGACAGGAAACCAGGCTGGGTCTTTTCCCAGACTCCCTTTCCTGTCAAAAAATGGCCATTTCATGGCTGGTGGGATGATAGGCCAAGCGAGGCAAAACCTTCCCTAACCCAGGCTGAGGCCCCATCTGGCTCTTGTCCCCAAGGCCCTGCTGGGGGCTCAGATTGGGCCTGCAGCCTGGAGGTTGGGGCTCAGGTCAGCCCAGGGCTTAGGCTAGTGGCCAAGGTTCCCAGGTGTTTGACTGGACACCTGCTCAAAAGGGACCCTGGTGGTTCTGCTCAGCAGTGCCGCCTGGGCTATTAAACGCCCAGCAGGCACAGGGCTGGCAGGCTCCCTACCTGGAGCCATGTGGCTGCCCAGTGAGTGAGTGAGTGTTGGGGGGGGGAGTGAGTGCCAGAAAGAGGGGGGATAAAGTGAGGAAGGGGAGCCTCACAGAAAGGGCAGGGCCTCAGGGAAGCGGCAGGGCAAGGGTGGGCCAAGGGCGCTCAATTTGGTGCATTTAGCAACCCTACAATTCAGGCCAGTTCAAGGGTGAGGAAGTGGCTTGGGGAGGGCTGGCCAGCAGCCCAGGATGGCTGTGGCAGCTGTGGGGAGTGAGCTGGCGGCCTGGGCAGCGGGGGCAGGCCTGAGGCAGAAGGGGTGAGGACTAACCTCCCCCAAAGACGAGGGGGGGGTCACGTTATGGTCCATTGGCCGTGTTTACACCTGCCTGAGGCATCACTCTCAG